AATGATACACGATAGGATGAATGTAAAACTAATGTTCTCCCATGTAAACTATCACATAATTCACAATAAAAAAAAAAAAAAAAAAAAAAAAAAAGTGAACCCATGTGCTGCCCTGCTTTGCTCAGCACTGCCTAAGGCCATCAATGGGGGCACCGTTTCAGGCGGGCAGATTGGTCCCTAGAACTTGGACTTGGCGAGTCCATGGCATTACTGACCTCCAGCTGCTCCCTGTTGGTCTCAATCACATTATCTAGCTCTTCCTGCCTTTTCTGTTCCCGTTGGCATAGAGACTCCATTTCTTGCAAATAGGTCGGGTGTCCTAAATTTGGATGGAGCTTCTGGGCGTTTTCATCCTTCAATCAAACAGACCAGGAATTAGTGGGTATTTAAGCAGATCTTGAGGTTAGGACCACCTCAAAACAAACTCACTGGCCTACGTCCTCTGCCAATTATGGCCACTGCCAGATTGATGTGTCCCAAGATCAGGTTGGCGTGCAGACTCAGGCATGGGCAGAGAAGTAGCAGAGAAGCCAATATGGTAGTGTGGCTAGTCAATTCTGAAGGTCAGGAAGAGGGAATGTTGGGCATCTTCCCCAGCATAATCAGAATTTAAGGTCCACTAAGGAGTCCTGGTGTGGCGCTGTGGGCTAATGCATCAGATTGCAATGTTGTTTGAATTGCAAGGTTGGTTGTTCAAGCTTACCAGCTGCTCCTTGGAAACCCTATACAGGATTGCTATGGGTCGGAATCGACTCAACGACACTTAACAACAACAACAAGGAGTCTTGGTGTGGCACTGTGGGTTAATGCACTGGACTGCAAAGTCGGTCTGAACTGCAAGGTCAGCAGTTCAAGCTCACCAGCCGTTCCTCTGAAACCCTATACAGGGCCGCTATGGATCAGAACCGATTTGACGGCTCTTACCAACAAGGTCAGCAGCATCCATGCCCCAGGGTCTCTTAGGACTCGTGTGGAAATCAAAGTTGATCTCAGTGACCAAGGTCCCACTCAATCCAAACTTGCAAATAATCCAGCAGATCCATTCATTACATTCAAGACTTTACTGAAGCCTTCTGTGGAGAAGATGCTATCACAGTTCCCATTTCTCCTATGCCTTATGTCCCTTCAGCACACATCCAACAATCTCAAGCCCAACCCATCTCCTACTGGGACTCAGCCCTGCCCATGTCTTGTCTCCATTTCTGAACTCCCAAGATCCACAGTCCAGATTAGAAATGCCTGGATCGAAAGCCCTCACCTTGGTTTTCTCCAGCTGCTTCAGTTGCTCCTGAAGCTGTCCACAAATCTCATTGATGGAGGTGGAAAATCTTCCCCAGTAGTGCTCCTTGAAATTCTCTGTCACCAGCCAACACACCTGGGGTAGCAGCTCCTCAAATCTTCTCAGCTGAGCCCGCAATTCTATAGAAATTGTGAATTGGGTGCAGAGGAGATGACAAGAAAAAATAAATTGCTAGGCTGATCACTCCAACAAAGGCCCCAAACAGTTTCCTAAAGGAAAAACTTCATCTACTGTGTGGTAATAGTTATTCCATCAGAAAAGGTCCAGGGTCACATCAGTATAGAAGACACTGGGTTAATCAAGTCCAAAGGACTTGCTGCCCTCCATACTCTGCAGAATTTCTCAGTTCATTTAAAATGCATGTGTCCCACATTTTCATAAGGAGCCTGGTGCTAAGCCCTCAACACAAGGGTTTTATTTGTAAATTTAAAAAGAAGAAGAAAAAAAATAAAATGCATTGTCTTTCAATAATTCTGGGGAGTTCTCATCCCTCATCTCTTTAAATAATTGACTTGACCCTCATTTCTCTAAATATTGTTTCAGTTTGGATTATTTTAAATATTGCCTCTTTAAATACAGTCTCCTTCCTCTCTCCCTAGACCTACAAATAATGTTTCCCACCACCGTTAAGTGGATTCCAACTCATAGTGACAAGAGTAGAACTGCCTCATAGGGTTTCCAAGGCTATACATTTTCATAGATGCAGACTGCTACATTTTTCTCCCACACAGGGGCTGGTGGGTTTGAACTGCAATTGTTTGGTCAGCAGGTGAGCACTTTAAAACATGATATCACCAGGACTCCTAACCATGTTAGACCTCTTTTATCCACATCTCTTCTCCTTTCATCTTTTTGCCTTTCTGGGCTGTATCCTGGATATTTGTTTCAGATCTACCTTCCAGTTCATCAAGTCTACCTTCTGATGTGTAGAAAATTGACTCATAATTTTAAATTTCCATTATTCTAGTTTTACTATGTAGGCATTCTAATTTTTTTCATACCTGCTTAGTGACTTTAATCTCGTTTCTTAATATTTTCAACTTTCTTTTGATTTAAATATAATAAGTGCATTCTTTGATATTCTGATACTCTCAGTACCTAAAGACTTAGCTGGTCTGATTCTGTTTAAGATATCTTTTTTCCTTACATCAGTGTTTGTTTTTTACTGTGTGCTCTTTATTTTTGGCATTTTATTTGTGGGAATCCTTGGAAGCCTAAGTTGGAATTGGATTTCTCTAGAGAGGATTTCTATGTGTCTCTACCAAGCATCTGGGGCAGTAACATCTCAAGATCACTTTATGATAGTCTCAGATTGAGATTTTTGTATAATACACAAAGTGTGAAGTCAGGTTTAGAAATCACATTCAGCCTAACTTATAGTTACAGATTCTCATTGGAGAATTATTGGAGGCTAATTATTTATTATGTATCAAGGTTTTAATACTAGTCTCTGGAGGAAGGAATGGCTTAGTCTCTTTATTTATTTATGTAGGGCCCTAGCTTCATGAGGTTTATATTAAGACTGTATGCTGAGCAAATAACTCAGGAAGCTAAACTATGTGAACATCAGGATTGGAGGAAGACTCACTAACAACCTGAGAGATGCTGATGACACACCTTGCTTGCTAAAAGTGAAGAGGACTTGAAGCACTTACTGATGAAGACCAAAGACTCCAGCCTTTAGTAAGGATTTCATCTCAACATAAAGAAAACAAACAGCCTCACCATTGGATCAATAAGCAACATCATGATAAACAGAGACAGAAAAGATCCAAGTTGTCAAGGGTTTCATCTTACTTGTATCAACAATCAAAGCCCATGGAAGCAGCAGTCAAGAAATCAAGTGGCATGTTGCACTGTGCAAATCTGCTGCAAAAGGCTTCTTTAAAATGTTAAAAAAAAAAAAAAAGATATCATTTTGAGGGCTAAGGTACACCCAACCTAAGTCATGGCATTTCAGATTGCCTCATATGCACGAGAAAGCTAGACAATGAAAAAGGACCATCAGAGAAACTGAATTATGGTGTTGGAAAAGAATATAAAACATGACACAGACTGTCAGAAGAACAAACAAATCATTCTTAAAAGAAGTACAACTGCCAGGATGCTCCTTAGAAGCGGGGGTGATGAGACGTTGTCCGTCTCAGGTACTTTGGACATGTCATCAGGAAAGACTCATCCCTTGAGGACATCATGCTTGGTAAAGTAGTCAGTGAAAAAGAGGAAGACCCTTGCCCGAACCACAACCAGATCTTCAGAGACGGGAAATTTCTCCGCTTGAAAGGACAAGCAGACCAGCCAGGAGCAGCTAGAAAACCAGAAGATACCTCTTGAAAGAACGACCTACAGGAAAAATACAAAATGATAAGGGCAGTCCGACTCTTACCACAAGAACATACAGGTGGCTTGCCCAGGAGACATACAGGTGGCTTGCCCAGAAGGCAAGTGATCAGATCCTGTCAGTGCAAATTCTCTTCCAAGACTAAGATGCAAGGGAAATATACACTTTGACTGACAACCACCCACGTCACCCAGAAGGGGAAGTGACCGAAGGACATCAATGAAGGGGCGAGCTAAGCCCTACATCATTCAGCAAATTACTGTGAACCTGGATGGAGACCTGGTCAGCCAGTAGTGAGGCAACACCTGGGGACTCATGTGCTCAGGGTCAGTGACACAGCCACAGAGGTCTAGAGTGGAGAGCGAGGCGGCCAGCTGATAAAAAGAGGCCGGACAGACGTAAGAACACCCACACTTGCAGATGATGCCCATTTGAATGGACTTCAATCACTGGATAAACAGAGTTCAACCCTAAGAAGAAAGAAGAGGGAAAAAAGCGTCATCTGATACAATTTGATAAACATGACCTACACCTATAAATGCAGTAGCTTAAAAGAGGAAACAAGTCCCTGCTGCAAGAACTATACCCACCCCCTCCACACAAAGGGTAGACAGGGATGGGCAACTTGGACATTGGCTACCCAAAATGGGGGAGGGATACAAAGGCAAGAAGTGACTGGCTTACAAGTTTTCAAGAGGGAACCTAGATCCAGAGGGCGTGGAGGAAGGTAGAGTCTCCAGTGAGTGGTGTCCAGCCTGTCCAGGAAGGGCTGATGAAACGAAATACAGATGGGTCTCTTGTGATGCAATGGTGAATAACCGTTATCAGGACTGATTGTGAGGGTTGGAAATCTAAAGATGGACATTTTGTAGCAAAGAGGGAAGTGATTAATTTATCAGTCTAGGAGTGGAGGACCCTGGGACCATTAATGGAGAAGAGCGAAGAGCAGAATCCTACCCAGAGAGGCAGTGAGGCCTGGGATGGAGGCAGAGATGACAACGTCAAGAGATGGTGGGGCTGGGGGCTCGGGATCAGGAGATAGAAAGGGGCTGAGGACGGTGGTGGGGGTGGTGCAGGCTTACAGGGTACACCTCTTGATTGGGTGAGGATGCCTGGACAGGATGATAACTATGCCAATGAAATGATGGATGATGGAATGAATGTAAAGCTGATGTTCTCCCATGTAGACTATCACACAATTCACAATAAAACATTTAAAAAAAAAAAAAAAAAAAAAAGAGGAAGACCCTCAATGAGGGCTGATAACGATGGTTCCAACAATGGGCTCAAACATGGCCAGGATTGTGAAGATGACACAAGACCAGGCAGTGTTTCATTCTCTGACACGTAGGTTGCTCAGAGTCAGAGCCAAGTGGACAGAACCTACCAACACATTGGTAGCCCTACGCCGTGGTTTTTGTTCACAATGCCTTGGTGGTGGTTTTGTGCCGTGGAGTCGGTTCCGACTCATAGCAACCCCGCACAGGGTTTCCGAGGCTGCAAATCTTTATGGGAGCAGAAAGCCTCATCTTTCTCCCGCAGAACTGCTGGTAGTTTCAAACTGCTGACCTTGAGGTTAACAGCCCGACTCGTAACCACTACGCTACCATTTCTTCACAATGTCTTAGAGGCCATGAAAACAGGCTTAAATTCACCTGGGAATCAATCAATGCTCTTAAGGCAAAAACAAGGTTTACTGCTCAATTACCTGTAATTATTATTGTTAAGTGCCACCCAGTTGGTTCCGACTGACCCTGTATAGGGTTTCCAAGGTGCAGTTGGTGGGTTTGAACTGCTGACCTTCTGGTTTGCAGTCCAGTGCTTACCCTACTGCGCCATGCCAGGACTCCAATATCTCTTAAGCATTCCTATTTTCACTTAATTTTTTGTCTTCATGTGTTTCATAGTTTACTACTAGCTCATAAGTGCATTTAATATATTCTATTATAAAGAAATTTTATCCACTTCATGTAAAAAAAAAACTGTACCTGTTTTTAGCGGAAGAGTTGATCAGGATACCTGGAAACTTCCCAAACTGTAGTGAATGGAAACCTCCATTGAGTGTGAATTATGAATCAACCAGAGATAAATATGATTGGCACCATCTCCCAAACCTATTTGACCAAGGAGCCCTGTTTTGAAAACACTCATATAGGATGAAATTCCACAGAATTTAAGTGGAAATGCGGCTAGTTGTTTTCATTCCAGATATTCAACAACCCAGGCAGTAAGAGTTACTACTGATTACTTTTCCTCTTGTCTGGTATAGGTCTATGCAAGGAGCTTAATCCTTAGAAAGCCTTCCTCTGCGGGTACTGAGATTAGCTCCATTTTACATATAAGCAAACTGAGGCGCAGCAAGGTGAAGTGAGTCACCCATGCCACTGACTAGGAAATAGCATCATGGCCAACTCTTACTTCTTTTCATTTACCCACAAATGCCTTTTAATGTGGTCCTTGGGGCTCCCTCCAGTATAACAAGTAATGTTGTTATTAAATGCCATCTAGTGGGTTCTGACTCATATAAATTTTGGCGGAAAAAGGTTCCCCACCCTGTGTAGTAGGGGTGGGGAACCTTTTTTCTGTCAAAATGTATAACATCATTCACTGGCCATATAAAATTATCAATTTAAAAATTAATCTGCTATATTTGGTCACACATTTAATTAACTTACCTCTAAACTCACCAGGAAGGAGATTTGGTAACATAGTGGTTACAAATCAGGCTGCGAACCGCAAGTCAGCAGTTCGAAACTACCAGCTGTTCTGCAGGAGAAAGAAGAGGCTTTCTGCTCCCATAAAGATTTACAGCCTCAGAAACCCTGTACAGGGTCGCTATGAGTCGGAACTAACTCCGTGGCATATAACAACAACAAACTCACCAGGAGTCCTGGGTGTGGTGCTGTGGGTTAATGTGCCAGACTGCAAAGCCATTTGAAGTGCAAGGTCGGCGGTTCAAGTTCACCAGCTGCTCCTTGGAAACCCTATACAGGGTTGCTGTGGGTTGGAATCAGCTCAATGGCACTTCACAACAACAACAAACTCACCAGTCGCTCCTTGGAAACCCTATACAGGGTTGCTGTGGGTTGGAATCAGCTCAATGGCACTTCACAACAACAACAAACTCACCAGTCGCTCCTTGGAAACCCTGTACAGAGCCGTTATGAGTCAGAACCAACTCGACGGCACAGTGTGATGGCTGGAACTGTGGTTGCCTTGGTAGGGCCAGACCAAATGATTTCGAGGGCCTTATATGGATGGATGTTCCCCACCCCTGCTGTATAGGGTGTCTGAGGAACAGCTGGTAGGTTTGAATCATCAACCTTTTGGTTAAAAGTCCAGTGTTTATCCTGCAGTGCCATACCAAGACTAGAAGCAGTAATAATTAGACTTTAAAACTGGTTGCCATTAAGTGGATTCCAACTCATGAAGACTCCATGTGTATCAGAGTACAACTGTGCTGCATAAGGCTCTCACTGGCTGATTTTTTAGAAGTAGCTCATCAGGCCTTTCTTCTAAGGTGCCTCTGGGTGGATTTGAACCTCCAACCCTTCAGTTAGCCACTGAGTGAGTTGACTACACCACTCAGAGACTCTGATTAGGGCCTACACCTGCAAAAAACACACAGGGTTGTGATAAACACAGCAGAGGAACATGGAAAAATGAGTAAGGTGGTGAGACTGTGGGTACATTTCACAGCTCTTTGTATGTTTCACAGCTCTTTGAATGCTGTTGTAATAAACTGCCTGCTCTTGTCCCTATTCCCCAGTCAACTGTATCTACCTTGTCCAGCAAAGGTCAGGCAGACTGGAGGTAGTTAGTAAATGTCTGTGGCTAGAACAAATCTATTCCTAGTGGGTACCAGTCACCATATTTCTCAAGAAAAATGAGCATCTGCTACCCCACCCCTCCAGGAAAATCTAATCTTGACCCAATGCCAAGATTTCTGCTTTTCGCAGGGAGGGTTCCCTGGCTCTCTTCAAGACTTCCAGGTCAGGAGGGTCTTATGCAGGTGCCAGACCCTGGTCTAGGCTCAATCTTGACTCTGGCTTCACACCATGCCGCCCGCCCTCGGTGCCCACCAATGAGGCAGGAGTTGTGGTACTCGTCCGTCTGGCTTTGGTAGTCCAGGATCTTCTTGCCGATGCTTTCTGCACACTGGTCGAAGGTTTCGTACATGCAGTCAGGCCTGGTGACTGGGCGCTTTTCTTTGTGGTAAAAGTCCTGCCAGAGAAGGTTGGACCCTCACCATGGAGTCTGGTGGGCAAGCTTCACACCTCACCTTTGCTCACGTTCCCAGGAGCCAGCTCCCATAGCCCACTCACTATCTCCCCGATCCCCCACTGAGCCTGTCTGCTTTTTATTCTGCTGGGCACAGAGCTCACGGGGCCAGAGGCTAGGTTTGTTCCTCTGGGCACATCAATGTATGATGTACAACTGGGGTCCTTGAAATGCGTGGTGACTGTATAAAGGAAGTAACTTCCTAGGATGAAAAATGACACACAGAGTGACAGAAACTGGGTAGACACTCCCTTTTATCACTTTGCGGATCAGCCACTATCAGCGGACACTAGAAGGCAGAAGCAGCTGGGAAAGTGTGGGCAGCTGGCCCTCACTCACCTCCAGGACCATCAACAGCAGCTCGTTGCTCTCCCAGAGAAGGGTCAGGATGATCCCTTTAAAGTGCCTGCAACACACGTGAGGGAGGCCCAAGGGGTCTGGTCGCACAACATGGACAGAACCAAATGAGTCCCTTGCAAGCACTCACCTGCCTAGTCAGAATCAGTTGGGCAGTTTGGTGACCAAAGAAGGATGATCCTACCCAACATTTCTATATGCCAACTTGAATCTCTCGAACTGATGTAACATGCTTGGCTTGAGCCCTTTCAAGCTTCTTTGCTCTGTTTAGACTTCCCTTTGGTCAGTCTGATTCTTAGCACTTTAGTGTTTATTCACTTATTCACTTCCGCCCCCAGGGCCTTACGTTGCCCCTGACCCTCGCAGCTCTTTCTGAAATCTTGGCAATGCCATTGCCTGCCCACCCAGTACTGCTGCTCCCAGAGCACACCTCTGTCCACAGTGGCTTTGGGACTGATTTGTGACTGACAACCTGCCTCTCATCTCCCCCAGCTGGCTGTAAAGCCTGCACTGACACCCCAGCGCAGCCTCCGTATTTATTGAAAAGAAAAACAATGTTTTGGATAAATATTAATCAAACAAATAGGACTCCTCGGAGGACTGAACTTCCTCCTTTGGGAACCCTGTCTCAGGTCCTGTGGATGCACACCAGGCCTCTTGGCACATCGGTACAGAGTCTGTGGATTTTCTGATCTATTCGGTCCACTGCTTCAAAAGTAAAATGGAAATGAAGCACTTCCGGAAGGCTGAGCCTTGCCTGTGGCTCCCGGACACGGGCTTTGTAATGAAGGGACTCAGTAGTTGCGGTATATACACATTTCTGCTGACTCCATGTCTAAAATCCGTATCTACTGGCTACTTTGATCTTTTCATGTTGTTGTTGTTGTTATGTGCTGTGGAGTCAGTTCCAACTCACAGTGACCCTGTACAGGGTTTTCGAGGCTCTAAGTTTTTACCGGAGCAGAAAGCTTCATTTTTCTCCCGTGGAACTGCTGGTAGTTTCGAACTGCTGACCTTGTGGTTCGCAGCCCGATTCGTAACCACTACGCTACCAGAGCTCCTTTCATACAAATTTAAAATGTATTCATTGCAATTCAACAAAATTAGAAATATACTGAAAGATGAGGAGGACAAACTATGAATAGTTTGGGACAACAAACATCCGACTGTGTATGCTTCACAAAATCCTGCAGGTAAACCCCCAAAGGGCTGGCAGGCCAGATTTCCCTCACTGGGGAGGAGGGCGGCCGCAGTCTCCTTTGAAGGTCTTGATTGTTTCCCAGTGCTTTTCATTTTCTGACCTTGAACATCCCTTGTTCACTTGAAATGAAGTCATACTAAGTGAACCACATTGTTTAATCACTGAATTATAAATAAAAGAGGGAGGGGGGCACTTAAAAATTGATTAAAATAAAAAAGCTAATCTCAAAGGGACATGCTACCCTCCTACCACCTAAGGAATTTAGCTTAGTAAATGAGAAATTTGGGTGAATGAGCTGTTACTCAACTAATTTAGGTGAAATGGCCTAAGACAAACTGACTCTGATCCTCAGCTGTCTCCCCTTCCCCTACCACCTGCTCTCTGCTTTTGTGCCCCCTCTCTTCTCATTGCCCCCTTAGCTGATCCAGGTTTCCGTGGCCCTTGAAGGAAACAGCAGCTTAAGACAGAGTTAAAGGAAAAGACAACAGACACTTACTGAGAGGGAGCCGGAGCCTTCTCGCCGAGTACCTGGTACTTCTTGTCCATTCGGTTGTACTTGGAGTGCCGACTGATGCTGTAGGACAAAGACAGACCAATGTCCTGGAGACAAGACAGACAGCAAGCAGATGGGATCCTGGGGAGCCCCACCCTGGGCCACTGGTGGGCTGAACCGGTCCCTGGAGCAACTAGACTCCCTTCTGGGACCAAGCATATTCCTCAGTGGCCACAAAGAGCCAGCAGAAGGGCCCAGAAGTGCTCAGGAGCAGAAACGTGCAGAGAAGCAAATGGGCAATGAGCAGGGTTGCCAGGTTTAGCACATAAAAATGGAATGCCTAGTTAATGTGATATCAGATAGATAACACATACATTCTGAGAATCAGTAAATCCCAAATGAGGAGTCCCTGAGTGACACAAATAGTCACCTTTTAGCAGAAAGGTTGGCAATTAGAAACTACCCCCGAGGCATCTCAGGAGGCAGGCCTGGTGAGCTGCGGATGAAAGTAAACCCTAAAGAGCTTCACTCAAAGCGTAAAAAGAGAGCCTACGGACTGGGAAAATTATCTTCACAATGACATGTCAGACAAGAGACTAATCTCTAAAATTTATAGAAAAATACAACACTTCTCCACTACTTGTCTGGCAGTTTGTTGTACTATGGTGGCTTGTGTGTTTCTATGATTCTGGAAGCTATGCCACTGGTATTTTAAATGCCAGCCTGGTCACCCATGGTGGACAGGTTTCAGCTGAGCTTCCAGACTAAGACAGACTAGGAAGAAGGAAAGGCAGACTATGTCTGAATGTTTAGCCACTGAAAATCTTATGAATACAAGTGGAACACTGTCAGATAGCACCGGATTATTGAATATTGAAACATCATGAATTATTGTTGTTAAGTGCGATCGAATTGGTTCTGACTTATAGAGACCCTGTCTAGAGTTTTTGAGGAGAAGCTGTGGGTACCAGAATATTGTCACATATAGTGCTGAAGACCAGAAGAATTGTGGGATACCATCAAGAACATCGTACAGGAAGAAAGCAAACTGTCATTTTCTAACAAGCAGGGATTTCTCTCACTGCCACTGTCACAACACCGCACAGTAAACCATGCTGATCACGTGCACAAAAGACCCAGAAAGTTAGCTCACCCATGCGGCTGCTGTTCATTGCCTTCTATGAAATCCTTGTGCTGGGGTCGGCCAGCTGAAGTGTGAGACAGGCACACACTCACAGAGCCAGTAGTCTAATGGTCTGAATGGTAGCTTAGTGACCAGAACACATCACCAAGACCCCAAGACATGGGACTTCTTCTGCAGGTTCCATCATGTTACCCAACAAAACCATCTGCTCCATGGCTCAATTGTCCCTCTTTCTGACCCTGAGGATGTGTGGGAATGTGACAGGGATTGAGATCACCAGGCGTTACCACTAAAAGCCACTGAACTCCCAAACGTGGTCTCAAGACCTCAGTCAGCAGGAACAAGTCCAAGCCTAACTAATAGCTAACATGGCGGCAGTCTCGAAGCCAGAGCGCAGGCATTGCATTCTCAGGACCAAGTCTGGAAACACAACAAGGTCTGCTTTGACCTTCATTTTAAGGGGAACATGGTTGGATCAGAGAAAGAGAAAACCCAGGGCAGATTTGGTTGGGAGAAGGGGTCTCATCCCAGTATTCCTACCTCCCAACTGAGGAGGTACTGGCAACGGACAAGGCCTTCTTCAGGAAGTTTTCTCCCCGACGCCCAGATCGCTTCAAGCCTTTGGGTGACGAAAGCAGAATACAGGAGTTGAGGATGGGCCACAGGACATCGTGTCTTCTCACCACTGGCTGCCCAGAGACCAAAAGGCCTATTAACCTTTACCTGTCTGGGACCGATTTTTTTCACACAAATGGTCTAAGTATTTTGTGTCAGGAAATCTGAAACCAAATGGAAGGACATGAGTTTTTCTGAGATGACCTCAAGGACAACTGAGGTCTAGGCATTGGATACTATCTCACTTAGCCAGTCCTCATGAGGAAACTGAGGCTTCATGAGGACAAGGGCTGTCAGGGTGGGACTCACAAAGAAACCCAGGTGTGTGGAACCCTACGATGCCCCCTGAAGGCTTGGGGCCATAGGCTCCAATTCGGGGTTCCCCTGTGCTTCCAGGGGCACTCACTGCAGGATCCTCTTGACTACCTCCACCGCTGGGTCCTCAATCATGGACTTCCCCATGCGGCTCGGCTGAGCGAAGGACTCTGGGGTGACCAGTTCCCCCTTGGCCTCTTCTTCAAGGACTGCTGATGACACAAAGAGGTCACTCTCCATCTCTGGGTCAGTGGTATCAGTGTTGTCCTGAGAGTACGAGAGGAGAGACAGCATGTGAGAAGGCCAGTTCAGGTGCTGGGGAGGAAGGCAGGATGGTCCAATCCCCAAACCCATCACATCCAAATGCTGCAGCCGGAGGCAAGCTACCCTCCTCTTTGAGTCTCTTTTTCTCTCCAATGAAATGATGATGTTCAACTCTCCCTTATTGGGCTATTGTTAAGTGCTGTAAAGTCAGTTCTGACTCAAAGCAGCCCTGTATAGGGTTTCTGAGGATCCGCTGGTGAGTTTGAACTGCTGACCTCGCATTTCAAACCGACCTTGTGGCCCAACGCATATCCTACAGCACCACACCAGGACTCTACTCATGTATTCACTCATGTATGCATGAGAGGCTCTAGAAATGTGATTTGTTCGTGTTCTGTTTGGGTTTGGATTGGGTTCTGGTTCTTGTTTGATTTGGCGTTCAGTTTGGATATGGTTCGTGTTCAGTTCATGTTCTGGTTCAATTTCTAGTCAGGGTTCCTGAGTGTCTGCTCTGTGTAAGCCTCTGTCCTGGCTCCTGCAGACACAGTGGTGAAGAAATCACACAAAGCTCTCTAGTCAGGAGAAGATACTTAACATGCACTTATCCAAATAAATATTTGGTCCAAACTGGAATCAGGGCTATAAAGGAAATGTTCCAGCATCATCTGTGAGATCAAAGTGAGACTGAAGGTTGCAGTTCTGCAGGGCTGGTCACATAAATATGTCAGGGTAGTGTTTTTGATCAAATAGATGTATGAGTTGAATGGTCAGTTCCCCCATGAGTTGGGTCTCAGAGAAAGGGTTGAATTGGTAGCCCACAATTAGTGTTTAGATACACTGCTTTGTATTTTTAGTCTGTGATGAACTGTAAGCCTTTTGAGGGAAGGACCCAAGCTAAACCCTTGGAGTCTGGCGTGGTAATGGACGTGCAATGGACTCTTAGAGTTGCTTGCATGGTGGGAAGAGCCTCCTCAAATCAGGGCTGTGAGAGACAAGGACTGAAGGGTGGCTAGCACAGAATTTGAGGAGCATTCCACTGATTCTGTTACCCTCTCAAGGAATCAACTGAGCTCCTCCTGTGTGCAAAGCCAGGGTGAAATGTGGGTGTGGAGTGAGGGCATGGTAGGCTCTTCCTCTTGGCGTTCACTATTTTGGGGGTGACAGCCTGTGTCAGGTTAAGGGGTTTAAACTTGGCCTGAGAGTAAAGGAATGACCCATCAGACTGGCTTTTTCTGCAGCTTGAGGAATGGGCCATGGTGAGAAGACACAGGTAGGGATGGTGGCCTTGGACAAGGTAGTGGTGGAGGAAATGTGGGAAGTGAGGGGCTGCTCATGGGTGTGAGTGGGAAGGAAGAGACAGTGGGGTCAGCCTGAAAGTCAGATGGAGGGGGTGAGTTAGGGTCCTGACAGAGATGAGGAGATAGTGCTGGGAGGTCAGAGGTCTCCTTGGAGCCCCATCTAGGTAAACAGCCTATCTGGGGTTTAAATCCAGATCTGACTCCACAGTCTGTGAACTTTCCAAGGCCTCCTCATAGGCCTGATGTTCAACAGGAGCCTGGGAATCCTCTCTTCCCCGCAGCTGCAGTTCGCCTCAGAACTCAGACTCAACAGTTCAAGTCCCCCTTTGTCCTTGTACCTTCCCATTCCTTACAGTAAAGACCACATAAGTCTGTGTCCCCAGCTCCAGACTGCAGTTGAGGTACTGAATCCTCTGGCTCACTTTTGTGATCCAAGTTCGGACAAAGTTGAGAACATCATCTGTAGTCACTGTCTAGTGAGAACACAGAGAAAGCCACAAGGAAGTAGACTGAAAGAGGGCAGGGGAAGCCCATGAACTGGGCAAGTCTGGGGTTAAAGTCCTAGCTGGCTTCCTCTCTACTCTGTGAAGTCCCCCGCCACTGGTAGGGTGAACCCTGGGCAGTAGGGACACTGGGCTGGCTCTCTCGGGCTCTAGCAACACTGACGTGGGCCCTGGGCATTCTAGTCCTGCTTCGACGAGTTTGTTTCTGGACAAATGATTTCCACTTGCTGGACTCCAGATTCCCTGGTTACAAGACAAAGCACAAAGTGCATCTTTTCCAGCTAGGGTCTCTTCCAGCTCTAACACTATATGTTTTATTCCTTTAGTAGGAAATGCTTGGCCCAAGACTGGCAAGGGCGTGTAGCACTAAAAGCACTAGTCTGAAAGGCGATGTGACCATTTTCATGACAAGGTCTAGTATACTCCCTACCCCTTGTTTAAGGAGCTCTGGTAGCATAGTGGTTACAAATCGGGCTGCGAACCACAAGGTCAGCAGTTCGAAACTACCAACTGTTCCGCAGGAGAAAGATGAGGCTTTCTGCTCCTGTAAAGATTTATAGCCTCAGAAACCCTGTACAGGGTAACTATGAGTTGGAACCCACTCCACGGCACATAACCACCACCACCACCACTACACCCCTTGTTTGGAGCAGTGACCCCACAAACCATGCCCCCAGGATCCTCAGTTTCACCCTGTACCCAACATATTGCTAACATCGCCTAACCTCCTGGTTTTAATGACTGCTCTGCAGAAGTGTCAAACCAGTCTCCACCAGCACGGGCAAGCCAGCAGACAGGTGCTCATGCTCCGCCCCCCTCCACCCACCCTCCCCTTGGGCTCCCTTGTACCTTACCTACACCCTGGTGCTATAGGGAGAAGGCAGGGCGGGGAAGTGGGCAGCAGGGAAATCTAAGGGATGAAACATTTCTACTTGGTTAGATAGAGCTTTCCCTGAAGAGCTGTTTAAAAGATCATGTCAGATCTACCGTTTGTCCTTTGCTGCCCAGTGGATGGGGGCTTCTAACAGAGACAAGGAAAGTCATGGTCTTCCCTGACACATCCCCACCATCATGCAAGAGGCCTCTGTGGAGGTACAGACACAGGTCACGTTGACTCCCTATAGACACTGAGAGTGACGTCAGCACCATTCATTGGTCATTCTGTACTTGGTGGCTCATTTGAAGTTTTAAAATGAAGCATCCATTACTTTGTGGGGAAAAAACAGTAACAAGAAACATAAATGTCCATTCAGTCGCAATCACAATAAAACCACAGTTCAGAGCCACCGACATGGAAGTGGGGTTGGTGGTGAGGAAGAGGCAAGCCAGCTGAGCTGCTGAGGAAAGTCTGCTTGGAGTGGCCAAGGCCCAGGGAGCCCAAGTGGCAGAAGGCATACATCTGACCAGAAAGCCTCGGTGCTAGTCAGGGGCCTGGCATCCATTTACTGAGATCCTTACGTCTCCCAAGCCTTGCTCCAATTCATACTTTTCTCAGTTTTAGTACGGAACTCAGAAGTAATCAGTTTATGTGCTAAGCTCTAAAGAATCAAGTGAAAAATTAGAGAGAAAGCAGGTGTTCAGCAGGATAGAGTTCATGTAGGGCTGAATGGTGATCACGTGGGGAGAGAGGTGAACTCAAAGGAAGCTACACTCAAGTTTCCACACTCACTGGTCTGCACATGCTTGCCTGATAGCTGTGGGGGATGAGGCGGATGGCACCCTGGTGCCGGAGACATCCTGAACACAGATGTAAATTGAATCTCATGTTTATGGTTCCTGCATGAGGTATCCTTGCTAATTCACTGCTTGGCATCTACCAAGCACTTACATTTTTCTCTCTTGAGTTTCGACAGGTTCCTATGTTGTTTTGAAGTAGCTTCAGAGATGAATTTAATTCATCTGCTTGCAAATTGGATTTTGCCACCTAGAAAACCAAGAAGTTCCAGATGTGATTTCTAGAATACCTATTTTGATCAGGAAAATGTTCAGCAAAACATGTTATCAGAGAAATGTAATAAACATTGAAAAATGAGATTGGGGAAAACAAACACACACACACAACCTACTAGACACCAGATCAATGCCAGAAAGGTGTGTGTGTGATTTATTTTGTTTTGTACTCTATTGGAAAAGAATTTCCGAGAGTGAAAACTAAGTTAAAAACAATACTATAAATTTATGATTCCATCAGCCATCAGTGATTTGTGAACTAGGGAAGACACAACCTAAACCGTGTGCTCCAAAGAAATCTGGAAACACAGTCAGAGGAAAACAGAGATACCCCTAGAAGTCTGGGCAGTTTTAACCAGTTTTTCAGAGGTTCTTTAAAATTACCTCGGAAATTCTTTCATTGCTGACACTGGAAATTTGCTTAACAAAACAATGTTGCAGTTTTCCTAGGGAAGGGGATCCATGCCTGACAAGCAGAGGCAGGTAACCCGGCATCTGCCTGTCTGGAATACAGGAGTTTAGGAGCAGGAACTGTGGATTATACATATAAACAAGCTAATCACCATTCCTAAAAGCTAGGTGACTTCTTGTTTTAAACAAAGCTTTGTGGATCCAGGTCACTGCCATGCTTTTCTGGTCGGATATAACTCTTTGTTTTTAGCTTCCAATTTCCCTTTTGATCCAGCTGCCACTAGGAGATGCTGGTAACATTTCTGCTGCGTGGACCTGATTCTTGTTGATTGCTCCATTGTCTGCTGTATCAACAGCGATGTCAGTTTAGTGATTGCTTGTTTTCTTTACTTGCCATGTTATTAGGCATCTGCTTCAGGATGACTCATTTTGGGATTTTATTAGTGGAAGGAATAAGACCCGAAAAATTTCTTAGCCTGAAGAACATTAGCTAATACTTTTTTATCAAAGGGCAGAGAGTTACATCCTATAAGCTTCAAAAAGTTTGTGGTAAAATTCTATGATCTTTTCATTCCATTTTTCCATAAATTTTTAAAGTTCCCTCATATTTTTTAGTTTTTGCTGAAAAATACAAGTGATTAATATCAATTATTTATCTGTAGGGCTGAGTAGGTTTGGGTATATGATATTTTATAGAAATATAATGGCCAATGATCAAAAAATAACATTCTTATAGTTTAAATGTATTTGAAATGAGTAAATCATTGATTTTGCAGAATTCTATCATGTGTTCTCCAGCATCATTTCTATCACAAAGGCTATATTTTCCAACTACTGATCCTTCCTCTTTGCTCCCAACCTTTGCCTTCCAATCACCAGTAATGATCAATACATCTTGATTGCATGTTTGATCAATTTCAGATTGAAGAAGTTGGTAGAATTCTTCTATTTCATCTTCACTGGCTTTAGTGGTTGGTGCATAAATTTGAATAATAGTGGTATTAACTGGGCTTCCCTGTAGGCACATGGATATTATCCTATCACAGACAGAGTTGTATCTCATGACTGATTTAAATATGCTTTGACAACGAATGCAACACCATTCCTCTTCAATTTGTCATTTCTGGCATAGTAAACCTTGTAGTCATCAGATTCAAAATGGCCAATATCAGTCCATTTCAGCTCACTAATGCCTAAGTTGTTGTTCTGTGCCGTGGAGTCGGTTCCGACTCATAGCGCCCCTGTACAGGGTTTCCGAGGCTATAAAACTTTATGGGAGCAGAACACCTCATCTTTCTCCAGCGGAACCGCTGGTAGTTTCGAACTGCTGACCTTGTGGTTCCCAGCCCGATTTGTAACCACTACGTTACCAGAGATGATGGAAAAGCTCCATATCATCAGTCAAAACAAGACCGGGGCAGACTGTGGAGCAGACCATCATTACTCATATGCAAATTCAAACTGAAGCTAAAGAAAATGAAAACAAGTCCACGAGAGCCAAAATATGACCTTGACTATATCCCACCTGAATTTAGGGATCATCTGAAGGACAGATTTGATACATTAAACACTAAAGACCGAAGGTCAGAAGAGTTGTGGGATGACATCAAGAACATCATACATGCAGAAAGCAAACAGTCATTAAGAAGACAAGAAAGAAGGAAAAGTTCAAAATGGATGTCAGAAGAGACACTGAAACTTGCTTTCCAGTATAGATATGCTAAAGCAAATGGAAGAAATAAGGAGGTACCAGAGCTGAACAGAAAATTTCAAAGATCAGTTTTTGAGAAAATAAAGCCAAATAGTACAATAAAATGTGCAAACACCTGGAGACAGAAAACCAAAAAGCTTAGCATTTCTCAAGCTGAGGGAAGAAAAATTTCAAGCCTCAACTTTTGTTATTGATAGATTCTCTGAGCAAGTTATTGAATGATGCAGAAAGCATCAAGAAAAGATGGAAGGAGTACACAGAGTCACTGTATCAAAAAGAAATGATTCATGTTCAGCTGTTTCAAGAGGTAGCATATGATCAAGAGCCAATGATACTGAAGGAGGTAGTCCAAGGTGCATTGAAGGAATTGGCAAAGAACAAGGCACCGGGAATTGATGGAATAAAATTTGAAATCTTTGAAGAAAGTGAGGCAGCACAGGAGGCACTCACTCATCTCTGACAAGAAGAGATCCATATCTGTGCCCATTCCAAAGAGAGGTGACCCAACAGAATGCAGAAATCATCAGATAATCTCTTTGATATCCCACGTGAGTAAAGTTTTGCTAATGGTAATACAGAAACGGCTACAATCATACATTGACAGAGAACTTCCGGAGGTTCAAACCAGATTCAGAAGAGGCCATGGAACGAAGGATATCATTGTTGATGTCCGATGGATCTTGGCTGAAAGCAGAGAATACTAGAAGGATGTTTACCTGTGCTTTATTGACTACGCAAAGGCTTTCGATTGTGTGGATCATGACAAGCTATGGATAACATTGAGAAGTATGAGTATTCCAGAACACTTAATTGTGCTCATGAAGAATCTGTACCTGGACCAAGAGGCAGTTGTTCGAACAGGACACGGGAAAACGGAATGGCTTAAAATTAAGAAAGGTGTGCAACAAGGTTGTATTCTTTCACCAACTTATTCAACCCGTGTGCTGAGCAAATAATCTGAGAAACTGGGTTCTATGAAGAAAAATGTGACATCAGGATTGGAGGAAGACTTATTAACAATCTGTGATATGAAGATGATACTCCCTTGCTTGCTGAAAGTGAAGAGCACTTAAAGCATTTACCGATGAAGATCAAAGAGCACAGCCTTCAGTATAGATTACATCTCATTGTAAAGAAAACAAAATTCCTCATCACTGGACCAATAAACAACATTCTTATCAATGGAGAAAAGATTGAAGTTGTCAAGGACTTCACTCTTCTTGGATCAACTATCAACACTCATGGAAGCAGCAGTCAAGAAATCAAAGGATGTATTGCATTAGGCAAATCTGCTGCACAAGACCTTTTTAAAGTGTTGAAGAGCAAAGATGTCAGCTTGAGGCTAAGGTACACCTGACCCAAGCCATGGTATTTTCAATAACCTCATATGCATGTGAAAGCTGGACAGTGAATAAGGAAGACCGTAGAAGAATGGATGCTTTTGAGTTATGGTGCTAGAGGAGAATATTGAAAGTACTGTGGGCTGCCAAAAGAACCAAAAGATCCATTTTGGAAGAAGTGCAGCCAGAGTGCTCCTTGGAGGCCAAGATGGCCAAACTTTGTCTGTCATACTTTGGACAGTCGCTGGAGAAGGATATCATGCTTGGTAAGATGGAGGGTCAGAGAAAAAGAGGAAGACCCCCAGCGAGATGGATTGGCCAAGTGGTAGCATTGATGGACTCAAACATGGCAACAATAGTGAGGGTGGCCCAGGATTGGGCAGTGTTTCATTCTGCTGTGCATAAGGTCACTATGAGTTGGTACCAACTCCATGGCACCTACCAACAACAACAATAACATAGTTCAAAGAAAAGATAAATATAAGGATGAATAGAAACAAGCTAAAGTAAACAAATACTTTTTCATTACCAACTGTAAGAACCAAACCAATTACTCCAAGTATCAAAGGAGTCCAGGAACTTTAGGATTATTTCTTATTTATCATCTTTATTATTGTGGTAAATATGGACTCCTGGTGTGGTGCTTATAGGATCAGCACTGGACTGAGAACCACAGGTTCAGCTGTTCAAACCCACCAGCTGGTCCATGGAAACCCTATGCAGAGTCATTTTGAGTTGGAACCAACTCGATGGCACTTAACAACAACAGCAAAGTATAAATGTAACAAAGCCTTTGTCATTTTAGCATCCTTCACATTTACGATTCAATGACATTGGATTCATCATGATGTGCAACCAACACCAGTATCCAGTTTCAATTTTTCTCATCATTTGTTATCATTTTATCTTCACAGTGAAAAAATATCATCCCATAAAACCGGTCCATGTAGACACAATTAGTATTCATCTTTATTGTATATCCTTCTGGTCTTTTTCTTCATGTGTAGATACATTATTAACTATCTAGATCTACTATGCAAGCTACTTTTTAACTTGTTCTCGTTCACTTAATCTATAATATCCTGTCTTCTTATATATCTCTAAATGCTTTTATGCAACCTGATTTTAAAAGTCATAAACAAACTGGACAACAATTAACAACAACAGTGCATCTTTGGATTAACATCTATTCCTGTCTACCTACAGCCCGAGATCCCAGCAAACCCTCTTTCTTTTGAGGGGATAGCCTTCTCCCAGGAGACTTGCCTGTACTTGGGAGAGCAGGGCTCTCTACCTTACCAGTGCCTGTCCCAGCACCCAGGAAACACTGCTCCCTAGATTATCCAGGCCAGAGAATCACCTGGGCCTGTCTCTGCCTCACCTCAAGTCCTGCTCAACATATGACCACTCAGTTCTGGAACTCAAGCTTTCGCTGCCAGTACTACTGTTCTCTCTGTCTCAGCCTTCTTACCGCTTTACTCCACTCTCACTTACCTCTCATCCATTCTCCACTCAGCAGCCTGGCTGCCCTCCTCAAATGCAGCCCAGAGCAAATGGACCCACTGCCCTGACGTCACAGCACCAGGAGTATGCTGAGCAGCCAGGCCCTCTCCAGACTCAGGGCTCCTCTTGGCTCTAGCCCCTTTGAATTTCCTTTACGATCTCTCCAGAACATTCTGCTCCTCTCTCCCTTGCCTGGCTGGTTCCCACTTCCCTCTCAAGCCTGGTTTAAGTACCACTTTTCTGGCCCAAGCTTTGGTGACACTGTAGGATAAGCACTGGACTCCTAATTGAAATGTCAGCAGTTCAAACCCATCAGCTGCTCTGCGGGAGAAAGATGAGGCTTCTGAAGTGTTCAAGAGCACAAAGATGTCAGCTTGAGGACTAACGTGGGCCTGACCCAAGCCATGGTATTTTCAGTAACCTCATATGCATGTGAAAATTGGACAGTGAATTAGGAAGATCATAGAAGAACTGATGCATTTGAGTTATGGTGTTGGAGAAGAATATTGAAAACACCATGGACTGCCAGAAGAACCAACAGATCTGTATTGAAAGAAATACGCCCAGAATGCTCCTTAGAAACAAAGATGGTGAGACTGTGTCTCTCATATTTCAGACATATTATCAAGAGGGACCAGTCCCTAGGAAAGTACATCACACTTGGTAAAGTGGAGGGACAGTGAAAAAGAGGAAGACCCCCCCAAAGAGATGGGCTGGCACAGTGACAACAGTAGGTAATGGGTTCAAGTAATTGTGAGGAGGGTGCAGAACTGGGTAGTGTTTCATTCTGTTGTGCACAGGGTCTCGATGAGTCGGATGCAACTCGAGGTACCTAACAATAACAAAGAGTTCCAGCCTCGGAAACCCTATACAGGGTCGTTATGAGTTGAAATCAACTCTATGGCAGTGGGTTGGGGTTACCCCCTTGTCCCTGGCCGCAGTTTTTCTCTAGCCCCACAACCTACTCTTCCTCTTTTGTGGCACAGATTAAGGCTAGGATCTTTGGCCTCAGTTAAGACTCGGATTCAATTGTTGTTGTTAAGACTCGGATTCAATTATTGTTGTTAAGTACGATGGAGTAGGTTCCGACTCATAGTGACCCTGCACAGGGTTTCCGAGGATGTAAATCTTTACGGGAGCAGAATGCCTTATCTTTCTCCCGCGGAACTGCTGGTAGTTTCGAACTGCTGACCTTGAGGTTAGCAACCCAATTCGTAACCACTATGCTAGTGGTTCAATTCAATTATAGCTCCGCTATTTAAGAGTTCCTGCCAAAATCACTTCATGACTCTTTGCTTCTGTTTGAACGCTAAAATGGTAACAAGAACAATGCTTACCTTCTACATTTCCTGTGAGGACTAAAGAAGCCAATCAAAATACACTGCTTAGCATGATGCCGGAAGCACAGTACCTCAATGTGTGTTAGTGGCTATTATGATTTAATTACATGGTTTGGGGCAGAAAACACACCTATGTTCCTAGCACCTGGAACTTGCTTGCTATGCAGGTCAACTGGAATATTCAAGGTTGAAGAATGAATCCATCCTACCTCACACTTGATATTCACTTGTAGATTTGTAAGCAACTGCTGGATTTTCTCTATGAAAATGAGGTCCACAGATAGATTATGGAATTTACTTTCAAATTTATTGATGATATCATTGGCCTGTAGAAAAAGAAAGGAGTGAAAGACGTGGACTTAATTTACACTTTTTTTGGGGGACTTTGGAAGCGGAGGTTGGAAAGCTCAATAAATCGTTAAAAGGAGCATGACCCTTTCATCTGGTACTGAAAAAGCCATCCAGCATCTTGTAGCCCAGGGGGCAGGGAGCCTGGCTGAGGGCCTGGGGCAGGGCTCACCCACCTGGTCCAGGTGCTCACGTACCTGGTCCAGGTATTCGCTCGCCATCTTCTCCATGTTGATCATGATTAGACTTTCAACAAACTCTATTCGAGCTGCTTCCTTCTTCAGTCTAATACACAGTGAGTCAATTTCTTCAGCAGAAAAGTTACCTCCCTCTGAAAATAATCTGAAAATGATGCAGGTGACATAAAAGCTACTAATCAGATCTGAATGTTCCCACCTACCCCAAATGCTGGGGTTGTCAAGGCTTTAGGTGAAAGGTATAAGCTCATGGAAAAATGAAAGCAAGTACTTTAAGTAGAGAAGCAGGAATACATAAATGATGTTGTTAAGTGCTATCGAGTTGGTTCTGACTTCTAGTGGCCCTGTATAGGGTTTCCGAGGAGTGGCCATTTTTGCCAGCTTGTCAGATCAGACACTGTCAGATCCTATGGAAACAAACACAATGATGGACAAAATTCCAAATAAAAACTGTTTTCTCTGGATTGCATAAAGGTAAAACTTCTGCAGAGATCCTTGGAATTTGAATGGGTGCAAGGCTGGGTTTTGCCCTGGAGACTTTGTGTTTCAGTTGCAATGATAGACAAGGAAGCAAGGCAGTGTAAGGCTGAAGCCCAGAGGGCTGTGCTTACAGTGTTAACAGTGAATTAGAAAGAAAGCCAATCAGATACAAGGACACCAGCCTTTCTAAATCCAAAGGCACGAACAGGCAGAAATTTCTCCCCTGAGAATTCATAACCACAAACTGTCCTTCATACACACTGCAAACCAAATTCTTATTCTCCTGGATGATCTGAAAAACCTCAGGCCGAGCATTATAAACAGTCCTGGGTAGGTAGGGCTCCTGCTGCCTGGCACAAGCAAATATGAATTCTTTTTGGAGGACTGCAACATCAGCCTAAACCTCAAAGAATCCCTCAGATAAAATTCCAAGGAAAGCAAGCAGCTCATGGGGGAAAGTAACACAAGGAAACAAAATACCATGTGTGTGTGAATCCGTCTGTACAATAGAGACCAGAAACAGATCACACAGACCTTAGATATTGGACTGATCAGATATGGATTACACAGTAATTAAAATGATTTGACACTGTAGGATCAGCACTGGACTGTGAACTACACACTCTACAGTTCAAACCCACTAGCTGTTCCTCGGAAACCCCTATATAAGGTCACTATGAGTCGGAATTGACAGACACTTACCTACAACAATGAAGAAATTAAAGCAAAGCTTGAAAATGTGAGCATGGAGTAAGCATTTTGGAAAAAGAACCATTATTACTAGAAATAAAATCAAATTAATTATGATTAAAATTTAAAACTTAGTGAATGGACTCATCAAGAGATTAGACAAAGAGAGCTAATCTATGAATAGGAAGGACAATCTAAAGATGAAACTAAAACATGAGAATATGAGGCAGTGGCAGAGGCACATTCTCCAAAAAACCACGGTACGCACAGGCTTACTTCTGCTGCTTGCTAATCTGTAGTGAACAATTTCACATGGATGAGAAACTGCTCACTACATATTAATAAATATTTAAATGGTAAGAAACTGTTCACTACATACTAGTAAATATTTAAAAATTTCACATCCATGTGATATTGTTCACTACAGATTAGTAAACAGTAGTTAAGTAAGCCCATGCATACCTTGGTTCTTGGATACTCCTTCATTCTCAGGGATTGTAAATTACAAAAGGGGCTTTGATTCCATGGGAAGGAGAGCTGTCGGGTTGGGAGAGAGACAGATGCCAACCACACCTAGAAGTAGAATCTTTTTTTTTTTTTTTTTTTTTAGAAGTAGAATGTTTGATGTAAAGAAATGTGAAATTGTTTACTAGAGATTAGTAAATAAATACAAGGGGGTTTATCTTGCTTACTGGATTATTCAGTAATGCACAGTGAGATGCCTAACATAATGTATTTGTTTGAATTAGTAATGCAAACTAGAATTATAGTTCTAGTTTGCATTACTTCCCAAATATTCTACAAAGAGCATAAACTGTTTTTATAATCAGACGAATCTCAACAAATGCATGATTTGCAGACACAACATTGTTGTTGTTGTTAAGTGCCGTAGAGTCAGTTCCGACCCATAGCGACCCTGTACAGGGTTTCCAAGAGTGTAAATCTTTACGGGAGTAGAAAGCCTCATCTTTCTCCCGTGGAGCGGCTGGTAGTTTCGAACCGCTGACCTTAAGGTTCGCAGCCCAATTTGTAGCCACTATGCTACCAGAGCTCCATAGAAGGTGCATAAATTGCAGGTGCAACATAGAAGGTGCATAAATTGCAGATACAACATAGAAGGCGCATAAATTGCTGGAGGTAGTGGTCAGCATGTTTACTAAGATTCCATTTCTGTATAAAACTAATGGGCTTTTCTTTACACATACATATGTAAGAGCACATAAAGCACACATGGTTGAAGAGTGCATTTGGGAAAGCTCTTCCACTTTTTTATGCAATTCTGTGTTTGATTTCGGTACACTGGGCCTAAAATATATGACTTAAAAAATAATATAAACTTAAAAAAAAATCAATTCTAGTCTGTCACAAATGTCAAAGACTAAAGCTGGGATTATTTTAATTTAGGAGTTAAGATCACAGTTTCTAAAGCAAGGGAGAAACGAGAGCACATCCCCATGGAGAATCCCCACGGCTGGAAAAGGCCCTGGGGTGCTGGCTCCCACCTGCAGTGCTTGACGAACTCCATGGTGGTATAGCGGAGCTTGCCCAGACTCTCCTCCAAGTACTGGCGGAAGCTGCGCAAGGACAACTGGATGAAGTCGACATAGCTGAGTAGCTCCCTGTGCAGTGTGCTGCTGAGAATGACCAGCCTGAAGGTATGGGAGGGACAGGTTGGTGACCTGGATCTGGGAGGCCCTTCAGGCTGCTTAACTCCACAAGTCCCACCCAGTTCTGAGGCAACCAGGACTAGTGTCCGGCTACTCTGGATAGGAAAGCGGACATTAGGCAGAATTTCAAAGTGCCAGTGTGCTGGACACAGCTCTGTCCTTCCCCAACACACCCTCTCTTTTCCACTCCTGCCTGTCCTCCATCCCCACCCTCACAACCAAATCACCTTTGAGTTCATCTCAAATGCCTCCTCCTGCAGAAAGCTCTCCTAGATTTTCCTGATAGAAAAAGTCTTTAACAGCATGGACCTTACATCACGTTCCATTTGCACCGTTGCACTATGATTATTTGCATCCTTTTCTCTCCCTGAGCTGTTTTCCTACCCAGCACTAGCCCCAGCCTCAGCAAGGCAGAGGTTGTATTGAATTTCCTTGTCTCCCCAGAGACCCCTGCAGCATGTTTGCTAAAGGCAATCACCTCTGAATTTGGAAGGTCACTGCAGGCAGTGACCTGGAGAAACACAGATCTCACACACAGAAGGCTTCCCACCTCCCCCACCCCCACCCCCACCCACCGCTTTTAGTCCGTTGAAGGGGAGGCCAGTAGTGTAGTGGGGTTAGGAGTTTCGCTGCTAGCCTCAGTGTCAGCAGTTTGAATCTACCAGCTGACCAGCTGATCTGCAGGGAGAAAGAGGAGGCTTTCTGCTCAAAGATTTATAGCTTTGGAAACCCTGTACAGGGTCCCTATGAGTCAGAACCGACTCAATAGCACACAACCACCAGTTCATTGAAGAGGTTAACTCCCAGAGAAGGTTCCTGGAGTGACTTTATCTATCAAGGAGAGTGTCTAGTACAAATGGTTAATGTGCTTGGTACTAACCAATTGGTTGGAGGTTCAAATCTATCCAGAGACCTGGTGATTCCCAAAATCAACCATTGAAAATCCAATGGGACAGTTTTACTGTCACACATTGGGTCACCATGAGTTGGAATTGACACACCAGCAACTGGTTTAGTAGTTTTGTCTCTCAGGGAGGGACTGACCACTGGAAGGCAGCAGGCTGGCTGGCTTCTGGAGCCGCACTGGCTCTGGGAGACCTCTGGGTCCCTTACTTGTGACTCCTTGAGGCGTTCAAGAAGGCATGCTCCATGTCGTAAATCTTACGGCGGAAGTTTTTGCTCCTTGTGCTTTGTTCTTCTTGGAACTGGCAGAACATCAGCCTCTTCTTCTTCAGCGCCTCGATCACCCCGGCACAGTGACTGTCCACCCGCTCTTGGTGAAGCAAGAGCTCGGCTGAAAGAGGACAGGGGAGCTGTCTGCATGTCCTGGAGTCACCTCAGGACAGCCATTTCCTGCGGCAATGACCACGTGCTGTCTCTCTTGGGCAGCTGCAGAGCATGGTTTCTTCATTCAGATCACTCTTCATTCAGAGTCACTCTTGCTTTTGGCTAGCCCTGGGAGTGGGCTAACTCAGGAAACTCTCTGGGAAGGAGCCTCAGCTGGGAGCTTGGCGCCCTCTGCTAGTGCAGAAACTCTGACTGCAGCCCGAGAGAACAAAACCAGAGAGATGGAGTCCAGGTGGGAAGAAGGGAGGGTAATGGGTGAGGACTGGTTGAGGCTCTATCAATAATGAATGGTGTGAAGGTCCCTGATGGCACAGATAGTTTGCACTCTGCTGATAACCGAAAGGCTGACAGGTTTGAACTGGGCCAGAGCACTGAGGAAGAAATCAAGCTTGGAGATCTGCTTCTATGAAACCCCAGGGAGCAGTGCTAGTGTGTAACATATGGAGTCTCCTCAGTCACAGATCAACAAAATTAACTACAAGAATGAGTGGTGTCAGGCTATGACTTTGTTTCTCTGGCTCTGGTCCCCTTGTTTTTTTT